TGGTTCTCAACCTTCCTAATGCTGCAACCCTTTAATACAGTTCCTCATGTTGTGGTGAACCCCCCCCCAATCATAAAATTATTTTCGTTGCTACTTCATTGCTGTAATTTTGCTACTGTTATGAATGGAACAACCCCTGTGAAAGGGTCGTTCAACCCCCCAAAGGGGTCACGACCCACAGGTTGAGAAGTGCTGGTATACGCTTTAGTAAGGGGAAATAATTTTTAAGAGGGGAAGGGCAGTGTGCCACACCCCCAGCTATTTATAAGGCTCTTGCTGAACTCATGAAGGCAGAGGAGGATATGTTAATCCTGTGGTTCAATTGCTGAATATGAGGGTAGTTGGCGTCCATGCTTGCCAGAGCCTACAATGTTTTAAGGGTCTTAAACCGTGAGCCTCTGCTTTTAGGTTTGACCCAGATTTTAGGCAATCCGCCACGTAACTCCAGACTTCCCTAAAAGCAAGCCTCTCCTTTTGGTGCATATTCGATTGAGTACATAAAAATCAAATAAGCAGCTTTTCGCGCCCGTCGAGCATAGAGCCTGTGTTTGCAAAGGTCTTGATCTTTTGCAGCAGCTGGGAGCACAGTCTCGGAACCCCCCAGGGGCAGTTCCACTCCTTCCCATGGGGTCTCTTATTAGTCAGAATTGACTGGATGGCAGTGCGTGTGTGAGTGAGTGAGCGAGAGATGGTAAACTTCTAAAGGTTGGGCACCATTAGATTTCAATTCATTCCCATTACTTAGAAGATAGCTATAATCAACAAGCAGACCCCGACGTTGCGTTTTAGGTCGGTTGGTTTTCTTGCAGGAATCTGTGCCACCCAAATTGTTTGATGTGGAGAATCCACAGGAAAGGTCTCTGAGGCCCCCTTCTGCTGACTGCATGACAAACTCCAAAGGAAATGCCAGTTGTGATGGCCCGGGACCTGGAGGAAACAGCATCATCCTCAGAGGACGAGGAGGTGGTAAGCCCAGAGTAAGTACCAGCAGGCTTGCTTTGGGTCCCTTTCATGGGTAAACTCTTCTATCCGGTATCTTGCCTTTGATGTTGTTTGACTCGGCTTTTAGCTTCGGTCCATGGATCTCATTCAAAATCTGATTTGTTCGCTGTCAGCTATCAGAAGCGAGATAAGGCTGTTTCTGGGCTCATGAGTGAACCAAGGTTTGCCTGGGTGGTGCAGTGGCTATGTGTTGGGCTGCTAACCACAAGGTCAGCGTTTCGAACCTCCTGTTCTGAGGGAGAAAGATGAGGCTTTCTGCTCCCTTCAAAATGTACTGCCTCAGAACACCCCCCCCCTCCCCCCGTGCGGGGGCAGTTCTATAGTTCTACTCCGCCTTAGAGGGTCACTTTGAGTCTGCAATGACTCCATGGCAGTGAAGGTTTTTAAAAACTTTTTTCAGTTGTGTTTTTGTTAGTTGCTGTGAAGTCAGTTTCAACTCCTCCTGGCTCCATGTGTCCTTTCCAACTCCTGTGGGCTACACAGCATAACAGAGTAGAATTCTCAGTAGGGTTTTCTGGGCTATAATCTTAAAGGAAGCAGCTCACCAGGCCTTCTCTTCTGTGGTACAGCTGGATGAGTTTGAACTGCCAGCCTGTAGGTTAGCAATGAGAGCAACCCGTTTGTGCTAGCTTGGGAGCTTAAATATACACCAGTAGTAGCTCTTGTTAAACTCTCCATCAAAGCTCCTCAGAGGGGAGATTTAAAAATATCATGCATCGGAAGGCTCCACATTCTGTGCCATTTGGCTGTGTTATGCCGAATTTTTCAAAAGCCTTTCTAGTGATAGCGTAGCATAAAGAGGTCAGATAGTTTACCAGGGCATTGTGGGAAGGGCACTGTGATTCTATTGCCCGTGCTGTGTTTATTGACTCTCCTTGCTTTCCTGATTTCTTTTAGTTCAGGGTAAAATGTCTTGATTTTTGGATGGGCATGATTAAAATGGATAGTGATAAGTACACCTTTCGTAGAGGGGAAGGGCTTTAATAAATACGGCCTCTTCTTCAATTGAAGAGGTAACTGTTGACACTTCATGAGGCTTAGTCTTACAAATCTCAAGAAACTTCTTTGACAAATGATAGCTGGAGATTCAGACCAAGTTGTCCTCGATTTCGAAACCCCTTGCTATCTATATATTTTATGTTTAAAATTTTTTTTAAAGATCACTTTATTGGGGGTTCTTACATCTTGTGTTACAATCCACACATCAATTGTATCAGACATATTTGTACATA